CGCGCTGTGCGAGCTTTGGTTTGGCCGAACCAACCCTTACTCTTGTCCTTCCGACAAGAACAACCCGTCGATGCTGCGTAAGCTGCATGCAAGCAGCTTCTCCACATGCTTGTTGTGGGTACTTGCAAGCGGGACGATTATTCCAGAAGCATCTTTGTCGCTGATGCGCATGGAATTGAAGCGTCGAATGCCCTCCTGGGTCAGAGCGAGAACTTGAAGACATTCCAAGGTCCGAAACAACCATGCCAAGTCCTTGAAAGGAGCAGAGTGCTGGACAAACTGTTGTCCATTGCGGTCCTGTGGGTGTTTGCATGCCATTGAAAGGATCTATTAACTGAGATGCACCCTAAAAGCTGCTCTGCCAATCTGGAAAGCGGACTCGCCCGGTCCGTGTATATGACGCGAGTGACGCCAGTGTCTTCCACTTCGTCGTCCATCACACTCACACTAGAAGAGCAGCCCATGATGCCTCGCGCAGTCTACAGTCTTTGCACAAGCTGTTTCGTATAGACTACAAGATACTACAAGTAGCAGTCATGGTCAAGTTCCAGCCCACCTGTCTCACGTTGCGCCGGAAAGAGAAGGAACGAATAGTGGGAAAGTTGAGCCACAATGGCTCTGCACAAGGGCCAGCCACATGCCGTCTTGTGGCATGTCGAATCACACTCAACTCCTTGCAGTGCTCTGCTCCTACAGAGCGGCAGTGCTAGTAGAACCAATAGTCGCCGTCGTGCTAGAAGCCATATAGTCGTAGACGTAGTCACGCTGGAAATCTTGGTGGTGACGACTCCTCGTAGCGGTAGCAGCAGCAGTAGTGGTAGCGGAAGCGGTGGCGGTAGCGGTAGGGGATGGTAGCGGTAGCAGTAGCAGCCACTTCAGCTTTAGCTGTAGCATAAGCAGCACCAGGAGCAGGAGCAGGAGGAGGAGGAGGAGGAGGAGCAGGAGGTAGTGAGAGGAGGTAGTGAGAGGAGGAGGAGTAGTAATAGTAGTAGTAGTAGTAGTAGTAGTAGTAGTAGTAGTAGTCATCATCATCATAGTAGTAGTAGTAGTAGTGGTAGTAGTAGTAGTAGTAGCAACAGAAGCAGTAGCAGCAGCATTGACAGTAGCAGTAGTAGTAGTCGTCGTCGTAGCCGTACTCGTGGTCGTAGTAGTCGTTGTAGTAGTAGCAGTAGTAGGAGTAGTAGTAGTAGTAGTAGTAGTAGTAGTAGTAGTAGTAGGAGTAGGAGTAGGAGTAGGAGTAGGAGTAGTAGTAGTAGTAGTAGTAGTAGTAGTAGTAGTAGTAGGTAGTAGTAGTAGTAGTATGTAGATTTGCCTCTTGCATGGCTGAGCGAGTCGCGAAGCCAGATTTAGGCTGGATACTCGAGTTAGAAGTGATAGTGTCAAGTAGTAGTCGTCGTCGTAGTGGTGGTGGCAGCAGTAAAAGGAAGCAGTAGCAGTGGCAGTGGCGGTGGAGGCAGCCGTAGCAGTCGCGGCAGTCGCATTCGCAGTCGCTCGTGGCAGTCATGGTCGTAGTTGTGGTCGTAGTCGTAGTATTAGTACTAGTACTAGTACGAATACTAGAGTACTAGTACTAGTACTAGGCGCCCCCCCGTCTACCAACCACCTCTCCGAAGCACTGGTTAAGAGCACATCCATTTTGCTGGATATTTACAATACTTTCGTGATGTCGTAGTCCAGGACCAACCACCGTTGCTGCTTGCGGTGTGGGGGGGTGGGAGGGGGGGCACATGATCACGCACTTTTCAAGGGCACATCCATTCTACTCGATATTTACAGTACTTTCGTGATGAGTAGCAAAGATGGTGCAACAACAACTGCAAGCTCAGAGACTAGAACACTACCAGTCACAGCAGTACGACCTTGTCACCCGCTAATCTAAAATCATGCGATAGCAGGACTGCGTGATAACCGGAGCAAGTGCAGCACCTCCTAGTTCTTTTCACAAACACACGGCCCCGGGCCGAACGACGTGCTCCCTGACAGCATGAGCTTGGATGTACTGGCCCAGCGCGCTCTGGCAGTTCCGACGCTGCACTTGATTTATCCAGAAGAATTGTCGAACCTTAAAACATCTGAAGGCTGCGGCATAAAGTCAATGTGTACACCCGCACATCCTGCAGCTGGTGTGGAATTGTGCCTTGAAGACTACTAGAGCGTATTGGATGCCACAATATGCTGGAAATTGCAAGTACAAGCCAGAAAAACTAGTGTTCCCAGCAGGCCTAGTCACCTAGTCATGATTGCACGCGCCATGACACTGATGCTCTCAACCCGCTTCGGTGTTGAATTACTAGTGACTTACTAGTGATTACTAGTGCGCAGCGCTCTGCGGAAGAGGCTTCGGCTCTCTCCAGTTTTGGCTCTGTGGGTGCTCGCCCGCTCCACAGGCAACAGGCTTGATCAAGGATGATCCGCATACCAACTAAATGGCACGGCATCTTCCACCATGAAAGGATGACGGTACCAGCCTGTTTCAGCATCTGCCACAGTTCCAAGATTGGAGTTAGATCTCACATGAGCCATCCAAGAACAACGGGAAAGCTTGCAGCAAGCCTCAGCTTGCCAATGTGAAAGGAAATGTGCAACTCAAATTCTTGACGAAGACGGCTGCAGGGCACCTGTTCAATTTAGGGCCCATCACCGACCGCCAAGTTGAGTGTCAAAATCAAGGGGCAGCCTGTAGCAAGTCTCTGCTTGCCAGGAAAATGCCAAGACAAAATCCAAGATCTTACGTCCACAGAACCACCAGCATGGAAGCCATCCGCTCATTCGTGGAGATACACTAGACCAATGTCTTGGAGACAGCCGAAGTGGCAAGCTGCAGAATACAAGAGTACAGGGGAGCCTCATACGTTTCACTGCGTTTCCAAATCTCTGCCGCAAACATGACGCTTCGTAAAGGTTCCTGCGAAATTCGTCCTGGCGGACCTAACAGCGTTCGGATCACCAATGTCATCAGCACGATGCTCATGCCGTAACAAATCCAACAACACCAGCCACAAGAGCTGCTACAAACAATCATCGGATACATGGTGGCACAAGTTGCGACCTGTTCATGAGCGGACATCATCCCGGTCGATGGAACCTCATCTGCCTGTAAACCGCAGAGATGCAAAGAAAAAAGCGAACCGCTGGTCCACTGACACGCTCGACCCATCGGAGCTTTGGCACGCTGCCAGGTTACTGTCTGCTCATTGCAAGCGATTACAACAACTGAGCTCGCACCTCCTGGGTAGAATGGCAACGATGAATGCAAGTACAAATACCACCGGTATGGTGCGGCTTGCGACATTCTTCCACTCCGACGGGTACTCCTACCCGCACTCCCACTCCTCTCCCGACACCTCCTACTACTGCTACAATTGCGGGTTTTCGGTTCACTATTCCTTACTACTCGCCGCATACTACTACATCCAACTTCTTGCTCCTCATTTCTTTACTGTATTACTTGCCACATGCTATGCACTAATTAGTTGTTCTACTACTACTACTACTACTACTACTACTACTACTACTACTACTACTACTACTACTACTACTACTACTACTACTACTACTACTACTACTACTAACTACTACTCCTCCTCCTACTCCTACTCCGACTCCGACTCCTACTCCTACTCCTGCTCCTGCTCCTACTTCTACTTACTCCTACTCCTACTCCTACTCCTGCTCCTGCTCCTGCTCCTGCTCCTGCTCCTGCTCCTGCTCCTCCTCCTCCTCCTCCTACTCCTACTCCTACTCCTACTCCTACTCCTACTCCTACTCCTACTCCTACTCCTGCTGCTACTGCTACTACTACCACTCCTGCTGGTGCTGCTGCCGCTGATGATGATTCTATTGCCGCTACTGTAATTACTAGTACTACTACTACTACTACTACTACTACTACTACTACTACTACTACTACTACTACTACTACTACTACTACTACTACTCCTACTGCTACTGCTACTGCTACTGCTACTGCTACTGCTACTGCTGCTGCTGCTGCTGCTACGACTGCCACTACCACCACATACCACGTACCACCACGACTGCAACTACCACTTGCTGCTGCTGCTGCTGCTACTTCTGCTACCGCTGCTGCTGCTGCGACATACACCATGCAGCCTGACTGCAGCACAGCCACCATCACCTCTCCAGCACTGAGCCACTACTATCAGCACCTCCATCGCCAACCACCGCGACAACCAGTGCTGGTGCTAATCTACTACCCCGAAGGTAAATACTACATTGAGAGCTCCAAGGGAAGTCACGTCCTTCGAACACCCCAAGGGTGATGTAGCTGGAAGACTGGAAGAAGTCTGGAAGAAGTCGCGGCGCATTGGGAACACCCATAGCGAGCAACATAGGGTGAACATATGCCGATGCCTGAGTCTCATTGCGCCAAGACTGATTCCAGCGTCCGCAAGTGCGCTGTGCAAGGATGAAAGCATTGAGCTGAGCATGCTCTGGCTGACCGACGTCTAGTAGGTCAGACGGCAGGCCCATAAAAAAAAGGCTTGACCCGTGCAGCCACGTTGGGGCAACACGGTCGGAGATGTCAAATAGCGCACGGCAGCTGTCCGATCGATACTGCACTTTGAAAGGACCATTCCAAGAACATCTACTGACAGCACACGTGCGCTTAAGGACAAGTGGCAGGTGCTCCCCACTCTGCCGAAATAGTCCGATATAGCCGGACTATGTGCCCTTGATAAGTCTTCAAACGACTTGGTCCATGCCGGTGAAACCTGTCCCAGGTTCGAATCTCAAAAACGAAACTCTGGCAACAGCAACTTAACGCCCGCGCCGTCCGCCTGCAAATATGCATGCGCACTGCATGGATGTAAAGATGCCAGCGTGCTTGATGGCAAAGCTTAAAACCCAAAAGCATTCCAATGCCAACAGAACATACCTGAACATATGATTCGACGGTTCGAGCATGTTACCAGCCCGAACTGTCGCTTGGCGTCACCGTCGGCGGACGTGTGCAGGCGAGGGAAAGTTGCGGTCTTCTATGCAAAGCTGCCCGGGCTCGATGCAAAGTTGGACACGTCTGTGCTGACGTCAGCCACGCTTTGCTCAGAAACGTCCTGATCGCCGAAGGATTTTCATGCGCAACATCTCTACTATTCATACTATTCACTACCGCAGGCAGCCCTGGGTCCTGGTCAAGGTCAACTTTCAGGAGCGCCGCTTGTCTGCAGTGCTTCGGAAGTTGGCTGGGCAGCACCCTCTTCTCCAGCAATCTTGGGTTCTGTTCTATGGCCGCCAAGAACTTGTTGAGCCTCGGTGTCCCCAAAGCACTCGACGTCCCATGTCGTCAGCATGTCGAGAGCTTAGGTCAGCAAACTCCCAAACCTTCAAAAGTATGAGCACGCGCAGGAACCTCACTGTAGCAGCAGGCAGGAAAAGCCCATCTCACATCACCAAACCCATACTCAAGTGACCTGCAAGGAAAAACCTGGCCAGACGCCACCCCGACTTTAAGACTGACCACCATGCCTGTCGCGCTGTGCGAGCTTTGGGGGGATCTTTTCTTGAACCCCGAGCTCGTTCTTAACCCCCCCGAGCTCGTTCTTAACCCCCAAGCTGCTGCTTGATCCCCCGCTGAGCTTTTCCTGGACCCAGAGCTGCTTGTTGACCCCCCTTTCATCTGTTCCGGGTTTACAGGCTTTGGGGTTATGGCTAGGGTACTGCCCCCACTCAGCAACAGTTGGATAATATTCATGATAGATATATATATATATATATATATATATATTAGGACCTTACTGGCAGCCCTAGGCGCTGCAAAGTGAAGGAAGCTACGGGACACTGAAGCTTGTCCATGTTTGTGCAACAGACTGCTTGCTGATGAACTGAATTGCTGATTTTCTGGTGAGCACACGATTCACACGATCGCCCAAGGATTTCAGAGGAATTCCCTTGAGCATGTGTTCAAGGAACCGGCTCTACATCACAAGTATTTCAAGGGAGTCAAAAAAATCAGGGGGACTTATTGATTGCGAAAAGGAAATCAACCCATTCTGAGGGGAGAACACACCGATGATTCAGGGGCAAGTGACTCTGTATTTCGGCAAACTTTTCAATGGAGTTGGGTGGAAAAACTGCGAAGTAAACCTTGCCTCCGTGCTTTGCGATGCAAATCCTTTCTACTGCTCCATGAAAATTGGATCTCTGAGCCTGTGGAAACGTTTGAAAAGTTTACATCGTGTGGAGCTCATCTTGGGATTGATTTCTGTATAGTGGGTGAATCTTGGCAAATAATTAGTTAAACAAACCCAACTTAAAATATACTGGAGAAAGTCTGTCCGGATTAAACTTAGACTTCTTAAATCACAAACTTCAGGCACTACACCCTACTTCCACCGCTCCGAAATTACAACCCCAAACCCTGCGAAACCATGAAACCCTCAAGTCCCAAGTCCTATCACCTTCACTCCCGAACTTTTGAACCCTGCACGCCTCAAACCGTGCCCAAAGTGTAGCGCTGGGAAAAAACATAAAAGAAACCGGCGCTGCAGGCCCCATTAGTGCACAGAAAATGACTGTACGCATTGCTTCAAAATAGATGGACGAACTACATAGCCCATTATGATTACTTTCAACAGCGGATTCGTATTGTATAAATCATAACGCCGCCGAGACGCCACATTCTACAAAATGCGCCCTGCGCCTCACCGCAGAAATCATGCGAAAACAGTAGTCATCGGGTGGGTTGCTTCGTCTGGGCGGCATTCTGAAAATCTGGTTTTGGGGTTTCATCTTTGATTTAGCTGTTTCTGCATAAAGGTTTATACCCACTGCATCCGGCTTTTGGGCTTAAACTTCGATCTTTGTTTGAAGAACTCATTAAATTCGTGGGTTTCGAATCCACATTCTTGGATTTTGGCTTGCTCTTAAGTCCTCGTTGTCGCTGTTTGTTTTTTTGGTTTCACGACATATAGTTTCTTTCGGGAATATGAGCGTGCGGCAAAATTGAAGACTACTTCTGCGGCTTAGCAACACAGATTATCGTTTTGGTATTTCACGTTATCGCTGGCCAGTCAGGCTGAACTGCCTGCTTTGTGACAGTGCATATCAAACGAAATGACTGTTTAAATCTGTTTAACGGTCCGGGACTGGGGCAGAGGCTTCGCTTGGTAGTCTGCTTCAAACCCCAAGCTGCAGGCTTGGACCGCATTTCGGGGGTCTGAGAAAGGATTTCGCAGGTTGGGCTGTTTTGAAGACGCACGGTGTAAGCCACTTTCCAACAAAGATTCTCGGCAGAAAGGCTTCAAACCCGGCATCTCTCAAGAATCTCTGTCGGAGGAATTTTGGGCAAAGGACTGCCAAGACCTGCCAAGCCTACTTTATCGGCCCTTCAGCATACACGTTATCGCGGTCCACAGCAGCGGAGCTCTTACCTGCAACGACCTTCTGTTAATCCCCCCACAGAAAGTCTAGCTCTTCTGAGATATATAAACGCCGTTTGGGGAGCGGAGTGGTGGGAGTGGCATAACGAAGCTAAGCAAAAGAAGGCTTTGGAGTTCGGGATGTCGGGCTGCTCGCATTCGGAGCCTTGGGATCTCGGATATAAATGATATAACTTAAGACTGACTGACATGGGGGTTTCCGAAATCGGAATTTTGGGACTTCCGGCTTCCAGATTTGAAGGCTCTCGAATACGGAGGTTTAGGATTTCGGGCCTAGGTAACCACGCAAGCTGGCACAGCATGCCTTTTACAAACCGTGAAGAAAAACAGCCTTCTGCAAACTTGCATTTACCACTACATGACTGGGAATGGACATCACAGGAGGGGGTGAGGGAGGGGCGACGTGGAATGGAGCTGGGGACGGTTGAAAAGGAGATGGGGTTGAAAAAGGGCTGGCGGGGGGGTCAAATAGCAGAGATAGAGAGCGTGGGGGGGGAAGGGTTAGCAAGGAGATGGGCGGGGGGTTTAAACAAAGAGGGAGGGCCAAAAAAAAGTGGGGAGGGGTCAAGTTAAAGACGGGCCCGGGCGAGCTTTTGGAGTATCCGAACCCACCCCTTACCCTTGTCCTTCCGACTCGAACAACCCGCCGATGTTGCACAAGTTGCATGCAAGCTGCTGCTTCACATGCTGGCTGTGGGTACTTGCAAGCGGGACGAATATTCCAGAAGCATCTTTGTCGCTGATGCGCATGGAATTGAAGCGTCGAATGCCCTCCTGGGTCAGTCAGCGAGAACACGAAGACATTCCGAGGACCCAGACCACACTCCTTGAATGGAGCGGAATGCTGGACGAACTCTTGTCCAGTGGCGTCCTGCGGGCATGTGCCATCGGGGTGCCCTAGCGATATACGGAGGCTCGCCCTGGGACGTGCTTCGCCAATCTGGAAAAACGGACACACACACACACACACACACACACCCGGTCCGTGTATATGACGCGAGTGACGCCGGTGTCTTCCACTTCGTCGTGCATCACACTCACACTAGAAGAGCAGCCCATGATGCCTCGGCAAATCTGCAGTCTATGCAAAGGTGGTCTCGTGTCTACTTCCAATCATGGTCAAGTCCTCACCTGTGTCACGCTGCGCCGCCACGAGCAGGAAAAAGAGGGAACGAATACTGGAAAGTTGAGCCACAATGGCTCTGCACAAGGGCCAGCCGTATGCCATCTTGTATTGCATGTCGAATCACGCTCATATCCTTGCCACACCGGACAGCTCTCAAACAAAATAGATGCAATGCTGCTCCTACCCTGCGGTAGTGCTAGGAGAACCTGCAGTCGTCACAATCATCGAGGCAATGATGGCAACAGTGCATTTCCCATTCTGGATGTGTGCAGGGGCAGGCAGGGGATTGTCCATCGAGATATTTCTCAGAAAGCCCACTGCCCTCACAGCATGAGCTCGCACGTGATGGCCCAGAGCGCTCTCAGACTCTCAGTTCCGGAGCTACACACTTAACTAGACTTCCAGGGCCGATGACAATCTTTACCATGTTTGACAACTGCGGCATAGCATCAATTACACGCCCGCTTCTGCTGCAGCTCGTTCGGAATATTGTATTGCAAACTATGGCTATTGACAATCGCTTGGGGAGTGGATGCCAAAACGTGGCAGCGATTGCCAAAGCAGCTGGTGTGCCCACCAAGCCAATGATTAAATGCACTTTGCATGAAACTGAAGTGTTTGTGGCCCCATGCAATGTATCAAACGTTTGCTGGAGTCCTAGCTGCACCGGCCAATTCATAAGTGCTCTTGCTGCGGGCTGCGGGGACTGCGACTTTCGAGCACTTGCTCCCTCCGATTTTGGAACTGTTTGGCTCGCCCGCTCCTGTGGAGTACTTGCGTGATTCAATTCAAGATGAAGTGGGCACCAACAGAATAGCACGCCATCTTAGCCACCATAAAACCTTGGCCTCTGCCACAGTTCCAAAATTGAAGTTCGGTCACATGTGAGTGAGACCAACCGCTGAAAGGCAAGTCCGTGCTTGCCAACGTGACAGGAAAATGGCAAATCAGAGTGGGGATCTTGATGTCAGCTGCAGGACGCATCTAATTTATGGCCCAGCAGTTGAGCATCAGAATGGAAGGGCAGCCTGTAGCAAATCTCTGCTTGCCAGGAAGATGCCGGAAAAGCTAAACGCGAAGATGTGACGTCCAAGCAACCACCAACCTGGAACGCCTCCGCTCATTCAGGTGGATACATAGACATAGCACATGTGCAAAGACTCCCTTGCAGGACAGCTGAAGTAGCAAGCTATAAGATAAAGGGTACCAGGGACCCATCCACATGAGTTTTGCAAAACATTCTTGCGCTGTGGGATCGAATGAGGAGACGTGATGAGGGTAAGTTGCATCAACATCAACTCATCTTGAAGCGACGAACCTGCTGGGCTTCACCCGTATGTAAAGCGCATAATGCCATCATGTCTGTGCGTCACAGCAGTCCTTTCCGTGACAATTGCGGCAACAGTTAGGTCTATTGTGTGAGCGGACACCGTCCGGGGTGGAATCTCATGTAAACCTAGTGGTACTCTGGGCTCAACCCATCAGAGCTTTGACACACTAACTGGACGCTCCTTCGGAGCAGGTACAGCGACTCATCTTACGGCCTTATTACCTCTGGCAACGCAACAGGCGCAGCCATCACTAGTTGATCCACTTTTGCTTTATGATGTCTTTCTGATCACTTTTTGGTGCGAGTCACGTCCTCGTCCTCCTCCTTTTCCTCCTCCTAAGCCTACTCCCTCGCCCCTCCCCCTCCCCCTTCGCCTCCTCCTCTTCCGTTTCCCTCCTCCTCCTCCTCCTCCTACTACATCTTCTTGTATGTCCACATCCAATTCCACTGCCACTTCTACGACCGCGGCTCCTACCACTCCCGCCATTCCTGCTTCTCTCACTTCCTCCACTCCTACAACTGCAACTACTCCTACTCCAACTCTCCAACTACAACGACGACTACTACCACGACGACTCCTACTACTACTCCTACTCCTACTCCTTCTCCTACTCCTACTTCGATTGCAACTACAATTACGACTACGACGACGACGACTAGAACTACTACGACTCCTGCTACTCCGACTACTCTTGTTACTGCGACCACTCCTCAGGCTAATCCGACTCCACCTCCTCCTGCTACTCCTACTCCTACTCCACCTCCCATTCCGTCTCCGTCACCTTCCCCTTCTACTCCGACTTCCTACCTCCTACTTCTACTGCTTCTTCCACGACTTCTGCTGCTGCTGCTGCTACTACTACTACCACTACTACGACTACGACTAAGACGACTACTATTTCTGCTGCTACTACTGCTGCAGCATCAGCAACAGCAACAACAACAACAACTATTACTAGTACTTCTGCTTCCGCGTCTGCATCTGTTTCTGCTTCTGCCTCTGCTGCTGCCTCTGCCTCTACGTCTACGTCAAGTTCTCCTTCTCTTTGTCCTTCTACATCCACTTCTACTACTATTACCACTATTCTTGCTGCTGCTCTGCAGCTGCGTCTGCTACTGCTAGCACGACTACTAGTGTTCTGATTTCTCATTCTTCTACTACTACGACTACGACTACAACGACTGCTACTGCTGCTGCTACTGCTATGACGACGACTACTGCGACTACACTACTACAAATGCTCTAACTGCGACGAATACGACGACCAGTCCTAGTCGTAGTCGTAGCAGAAGCAGCATTAGCAGTAGTTTAGTAGTGGTGGTGGTTGTGCTACCACACCCACGACCAGTACCACTTACTACTTACTACTTACTACTACTACTACTACCACCACCACCACCACCACCTCCATCACCAGGACTTCTTCTTCTTCTTCGTTGTTGTTGTGGCTGTTTGCCTGCTTGGGGGACCTTCGAGGTAGGTGACGCGTCCGAGACTGACAAAGGCAGGACTCTTAGGGTTAGCGGGTTCCGGACGCCTCGAAGCATCGGGTGACCTTCAGCGGCAGGCCTCTTTCTTGGCTTCCGGAAGCACAGCAAAAAAAAGCATATGTGGTTTTCCAAGTTTCCAATTTCTGTAATACAGAGCTTCAAACTCAAGATCCAAAGTTGCCTTTACAGTGTGAAAGCATTCAGCGTGCGTTGTTGAAAACTCAAGACTTGTTGCAAGCAGTAGAGTTTCAAAAACAAGGCACGCTGAGCTTGCTTTCCCCCTGTAAGGGCATGAAAGGAAAGCTGGGCTTGGAATCTGTCCTGAAACTTCAGAAATGAAATTGAAATTTGGCCAAATCCGCATTCGTAGTCATAGTTGTGGATGGTAGTATTCGAAGCAGTAGTTTAGTAGTAGTAGTAGTAGTAGTAGTAGTAGTAGCAGCAGTAGCAGTAGTAGCAGTAGTAGCAGTAGCAGTAGCAGCAGCAGCAGTAGCAGTAGCAGTAGCAGTAGCAGTAGTCGTCGTAGTAGTAGTTTTTGTCACCCACATGGCACGCCTCTGGTAGTGGTTGTGGTAGTGGTGGTGGTGGTGGTGGTGGTGGTGGGACAGTAGTCGTCGTGGTGGTGGTGGTAGGGGTAGTAGGAGTAGTAGGAGTAGTAGGAGTAGTAGGAGTAACAGGAGTAGTAATTAGGAGTGGTAGGAGTAGTAGGTGTAGTAGTAGTAGTAGCAGTAGCAGTAGCAGTAGTAGTAGTAGCAGTAGTAGCAGTAGTACTAATAATGGTAGTAGTATACAGCAACAGCAACAAGAACTACGACTACGACTGCGACTACAACTGCAACTGCTGCGACTCCTAGCCCACTCCTGCTCGTACTCCTGCTCCTGCTCCTCCTCCTCCTCCTGCTCCTCCTGCTCCTCCTGCTTTTTCTTGCTTTTTGTTGCTCCTCCTGCTCCTCCTCCCCCCTCCTGCTCCAAATTCTATTGCTAACGAAATCTCACTACCACAATGACTTCAAGCACCGCTACCACAACTGACCACAACCTCCACGGCAAACGCTGACTGTGATACATACTACCTACTGAAATAACAACTACTTCATGGGAGCTCTGAGGGCAGCAGAATTCTTCGAACACCCTCGAGGGTGATGTAGAGCATGGAAAATTTTGAATGAGCATACACTGGAAGAAGTCTCAAAGCGTCAACTCAGATCGGGCGACATCATTGAATCCCCAGCTGCAAAGCGCACACATGCCTGAGACTCATTCCGCCAAGACTGATCCGTGCAAGGATGGAGCACTGAGATCGCAAGGCCGAACCGAAAGGGCTACGGCTCGGCCACACGCTACTAATAAAACACTGGCCTGACCTGTGCAGACACGTTGGGGCTGCACGGTCAGAGCCATAAGTGCCGCACAAAAGCTGTCTGCTCGACATCTGCTGACTCACTTGTAACAACATCTTGTGACAGCATGCGTGCACTTATGACCAGGTGGCAGGTGTTCTTCACTCTGCCAGAATAGTCCGAGACAGTCGGACTATGCGCCCTATATATAAGCCACACCGACGACTTGGGCTATGTCAGTGAAGCACATCCCTGGTTCGAGCTTCAACATCAAACCCGCCGGCCAAAGGGTGAATACTCGCGCTTCCCGTCCGCAAATATGCATCTGCTCTGTGTGGATGCAACACAGATGCAAGGATACCAGCATTCCAAGTTTCTTCTATGCAAAGCTGCCCGGGCTCGAGGCAAAGTTGGACACGTCTGTGCTGACGTCCGCCACGCTTTGCTCAGAGACCTCCTGATCGTCGAAGGCTTTTCAAGCACAACGTCACGATTAACTATTCAATTCTCTACCACAGGCAGCCCCGGGTCCTTGTCAACTTTCATGAGCGCCGCTTGTCTGCAGTGCTTCGGAAGCTGGCTGGGCAGAACTTGCTTCTCCAGCAATCTCGGGTTCTGTTCTATGGCCGCCAAGAACTTGTTGAGCCTCGGTGTGCACAAAGCACTCGACGACCCATGTCGGGAGCTTGGGTCGGCAAACTAGAACCCCAGCCGCCTTATCTTAGGACTCGAAAAACTCGCTAAAGTTGCGTGCAAGCTGCTTCTTCACGTGCTGGTTGTGGGTACTTGCAAGCGGAACGATTGTTCCAGATGCATCCTTGTCGCTGATGCTCATGGAATTGAAGCGCCGAATGCCCTCCTGCGTCAGGCAAGCTAGCAGGGTGACAGACATTGCAAGCTTCGATCCACAACATCGCCAGTCCTTGAATGGAACAGACTGCTGGACGAACTCTTGTCCGGCAGAATCCTGCCGCGGATTCTGCGCGATTGCGGTACCCTGTACCCTGGTTGCTGGGATGCGCACACGCAAGCCCTTTCCAATTGGCCAACGGTCCGTGTACATGACGCGAGTAACACCGGTATCTTCCACATCGTGCATCACGCTCACACTCGAAGAGCAGCCCATGATGCCTCACGGGATCTAGACGCTTTGCAAAACCGCGCGCTTGGCAGGGTCCAGCCCACCTGGATCACGGTGTGAAGGCCAGCGTGCAGGAAGGCAGGGCAAAAAAAAAATTGGGCCACAATAGCTCTGCACCAAGGTGGGGTTACAGCCACATTCGACCATGCGCCGCATGTCGAAACACAACTGTAGCGAAGCAGCTGGCATTGTTTCGTGCACGTTCTTGCGTTGCGACTCGGTATATTTGCGATGTTTGGGGCTCCGGTGCTTTTGGAGTGTCTTGGTGTGCCTGTCCAATGTTTGTAAATGTCGACTACAATGTTGAATTTAACGGCCCTTGCCAGGATTCTAGGTATGGCCCGGCTTCCTCCCGAACGGCCTGTCAATGGTTCGGGACAACGGGGTGTTGCATTCGCCTCGGTTAAAACCAATCCGCTGACGCTGCTGCCGCTAATCATAATCGTCGTGGACCACCAACACCACCCCCACCACCGCAACAACCACATGCAACGATGACGAAGACAAGGATAAAAATGATGATGATGATGATGCTGATTATGAGGAACACTTACGGCAACATGTGTCGTTACTGTACGTAATTGGGCTGGAGGCCCCCCGTTGATGAGTTGCGGTTAAAATATATTACAATTCAATTAGAAATTATACATTCGTGACATGTGGTTACAAACTTCAAACTTCAACACTGGATACTCGCCGTAGTCCGTACATAATCAAGAACAAATGATTTGCAGCGCGCACCACTTGCAGTGTAGGTGGAGCCGGTGGAACTGGACAATCCATCGACCTTTTGGCAACGGATGAAAAAATCGGTAGTTGCGTGCGAAGGTGGCTCTATCGTAATACTCTAACTGCAGAGAACCAACAAACTTCGTTTCACGTCGCAAGCATCTTGATACTTGCAGATTTACTGGCAAGCGGCAGGCGGGTTGTCTGATTTTTTGTCTTTGTGAATGATCTTCCGTTGTTGAGGTAGTGCTGTAAGCCATTTTTCGTCTGCTTTCCACTGCCACTTTTTGTGCTTCGACGAGGATATCATGTTTGATGGTATTTTTGATGCCCCCGGCACCTGTGTCGACAGTGCGATCCCAAGTCTGACATTGCCAGGACATGCCAATTTCTTACAGTGATCTGCATCCAAGCTCCGAGGCTAATTCAGCTCGCCTTGCTCCAGGCGCGCGGCTCAGCGGCAGGTTATATACTGTGCGCTCTTGAGTGATTGCATCAAACGTGCCTCTTTCAGACTTGCCTTGGCAATGCCTTGGCTCAAATGACAACATGAACCAACTTGCTCCGTCGAAGCTGTGTGCAGCTGCGGGCTTGAGTTGTGACCAAAGCAATGATAAACCGTGTAAACTTTGCCAGAAGCCCTGACACACAGCACAGACGTGTTGGTTGAATCCAAAAGGTCCGCTTACAGATCGGAACTCGCGGCGAAGGTAAATGGCCAAAGCGTTCTCGGAGTTTCTTACCAAACGTTGGTGGGCCTGGATTCGGGAGCGAATCAGTTGAGTATCCCGGGCGCCAATGCCGATGATGTCATGTGGGAGACCATGCAAGGTGAAGCCGTCGCGAACTGTACAAAATCATCTCGCATTGAAGGCCATACTGGAAAATGTGCTACATCAGACCGTGAACTATGACCAGGAAAACGCGCCATTACAAATCTGTTCAATTCATCATCCCATCGCTTGGGAGGGCGACCCGGCCGACACTTTGGCTCACTTGCATTCACACAGGCCTTCGATGAGTAGTTTCTGTTTTCCTACCACCTTCAGGGCTCGACTCATGTACAGGTGACGCTGTGTTGACTTCCATGGACCATACCAGCTGAAAGTTCATGATGTCTGTAGCCCCTGCGGGGCTATGGGGTGCATGCAGCAGACCCGGCGCTCACGACGGCCCCCGGCCGGGCATCCGGAAAAGAGTTGCAGATTCGTGCTGGTGCTGTGACTTGCTTACCATACATTGGTGTTTGCTGGGCCCCTTACCGGTCGGGAAGTGCTCTGCTTGTGAGCACCATTCTGACTTCGGTGGACCTTGCGTGCCCTGCTTTTACAGGTGGTGTTGTCCTATCTTGTAAAAGCGTGGGCTCTCTGTGAAATACATATCCGTGTTGCAAGAGGGTTGCGCTTGCCGTGTTGCGTACATGAGCCGGCCTCATCCGCATGACCCCTTGCTTGCTTGTGTGAGGATTTGCTTGGCAACAGAAACACTCACAGAGTTGAACAGCCTTGCGCTTGCACTGCAGAACAAGCCGTTGGGTGAGGCTTCTGCATTATTGGCGAAGCAAATTTTGATTTGCACTGGTGACGCCTTGTGTGCCAGGCGCCCCCCGAAAGCTTTGTGGAAGGTGCTTTCGGCTTGCTTCTGTTGTTGTACTGCGTGGTTGTTCCCCGCGGACTTGAAATGGAAACGGAGCTCCTCCTTTGTTGAAACCGTCTGGGCCGCGTGTGCAGTTTGCCGCTCCCTGTTGTGGTTGTCACAAAGCAGGAAAGTCCTCTGGGCTCGTAAAGCTGCACTCTTGCTTGCAGAGGAACACCGCTTTGCGTTATGGCGTGAAGATCGGCCAAAATCCTGGTCGCCTGCAGATGTCCGAAGTGCCGTGGACATTTTGCTTGTGCTTCAAATGTTGGCCGTCCTCCCAAACCTTGACTGCTTGAGCTTGTCTAGCGTGAGCCGTGAGTCCTGCGCTGCTTTGTATGCTTGGGCCAGTACTTCTGGCTGCTACGTTGGGATGGCCAGAGCCACTCGTCAGGGCTTTCCTTCGGACGCAGGTGTGGCGCGCAGGTGGCTTGAGCATGCTGCTCTGTTGTTGCGACCACATGCACGTGATAGCAAAAGGTTGAGATACAAGGTGATACGTCGTGTTGGCTTGCATTCAAGTTTTTTCTTCGTTTGTCGGGCTCACTCTGTGCAGAGGGTGAGTGCTATGGAACAGTATGAAATCAAAGCTCACGGGCCTGTGGCCAATGTCGCTGCTGCGAAGTGCCATGAGAATGCGTCTGCGCACCGCATTCCTCGAAGAAGACCCCCAAAACATGCGAGAAATTGTCATGACATGGTTGGTCCTTTCGACTCTCGGGTCGTGCATGCTTCGAAAGGCATTCTTGTGACTGTTAAGGGCCGGGAAGATGCTCCTTGCTCTGCCACGCTCGGTGACTTCACCACTTTGTACGACGCTTGGCTTCGTAAGCGCTTTGTCAAATGTGGCGTTTACGGCCCTGCTGACATTTACGCTGCTTGCAATTCCTTGTTGCTTGCTACTTGGTGCGGCACAAAGCATGCTGTCGTCGATTGGGAACTCTTGGGTAAGAAATGGTGCTGTGGTTGCCCTCCTGCTGCTTTGTCGCGGTGCGTGCGCCTTGTGGTTGGAAAAGGCAGAAAAACTTTAGCCACCAGACGGATCAACGCTGCGTTGGTGGCCAGAGGACTGCCTAAAGTGCAAGGGTTTTGCTGCCCTGTGCCGGCTTGTTGTCCCGTGAACGTTGTGAGGAATGCGCTTCGCTCATCCCTCCGCTCTGCCGTTGCGGGCTGGAACCATCATGAGTGCAGTTGGGCCTTGTCCAGGGTCCGCTTTGTCTTGGCTGCTCCTTGCAAATTCAGAGACCAATGGAATGCTCCTCAAGCTTGCAAACAGCTGCGTTCCAGTGACCTTCAGTGCCAACCTTTCACCTTGAATGATGCCGCGGGCTTGCGTCGGGTTGAAAAGATATGGGACATCGAGCAGCGCACCTCCCCGGAAGAAGATGTGATGTGTGTTACCGCTTGCGTGCGCGATTGTTGCTCACAGCTTGGCTTGACAGTGGGTGTTAGCAAATGCGCTATGGCACATGCCGCGGCTGGCTTGTGCAGCAGTGCGGCTTACAAAGAGTCTCGCCAGCGACTTGATGTTACTCATGCTGCTTTTCGCACCTACACCAAGGACATGCAACGCAATCATGGTGAAGCCCTTGTACTTGTACCTGACGACAAGGCAAAAAAGTACATGTGGCTTTTGCCTATAGCGTTGTACCAGCAGCTTGTTTGGTTCTTCGCACTGCTTGCCCCTACTTGGTTTCGTTGCCACCTGTCTCTTTGCGAAGCCAATGCTTGGTGTTTGTATGTCCTTGACGTGTTGCTAAGCGACAGGTTGAAGACTTTCTTGCGTTTCAAGAGGTACCGCCACGTGCTGCCCTATGTGTACGGGACGATTAAATCCAAATGTTTTGCACATGGGACTCACGTTTGTCGTAAACTTGACCATAGTTGCTTGAGGAAGGTCGTCAGTTGTGCTCGCTGGCCGTGCCGTGGTCGGTGGAAGTTTATTCACCGTGCCTTTGATTGCCTGGCGCAGCTGTTCATCTCCAGTGACGAAGTCTGGGGCATGCGTGATGCCACTTCCGTTATGAACAAGCGCATGTCAATCGCTCAGGTTGCTTGTGGTCGTTGTGTTTGCCCACGTTGCCAGCGATCAAAACCAGAGGTTGTGGCCTTTTCTGCCGACGCAGGCCAGTTCTTTGAAACTGTGCAACCCTCTGTTTCCATCAAAGCTGCGCGTCGCTTGGTGCAGCGTGCTCGGAGCGTTACCGGGAAAGATGTTGTCACTGTTGTTAGAGGTGCTCGTAAGCATCACGCCTTCGTCGGTGGGTCCGTTTTTGCAAACGACGCCTCGTCGTACAGGTTCCTCTTGGTTGACCTGCTGCTTGCTTTCTGCGCATGCATGCTCGTTGGCCTGTCTAGTGTCGGCGATGCTTGCTTCCGTCTGGTTGACTTGCCTACCGGGGGTGTCCTGTCCAAGACCGCCACTAGCATGGTACTTGGCTTCGAAGAGGAAGACTGGGTGAACAGCCCGACCTGGCGAAGCATCAACGGCTTTTGTGCCACTTCACCGGCTTGGAATGAAGAAGTGGCCACAGGGCGCTATTGTGATGATATCCTCTGGGTGTCGGCTGTGTATTGCATTGATTGCCTGCTTGATGCGCTAAAGCTTACATACTCCGTGT